CTAAGAATTCCTGAGTACTTAAATCCAAGGTGTACAAGCAAGCTTTTTGGCTGGGATTGCTTGGTGCAGCGTCTCCGAAGCGGAGCATCCTATGGTCGTCATCCCCTGCAGTTTGGTCTTTCAGAAGATTCGCCCACCTGAGTAAGAAGGACAAGATGGAGACCCGTGAAAAATTGTGTGCTTACAAAACCACGGCCGAAGGGAAGAAGTCTTTCAGCGGCATAAAAAAGCACCTCAAAAACTCGCAGTCCCATGTCTAGAATTCGCAGTTTAAAGTTCTACTTGGTTTAATCTTTTACTGCAAGGTAAGTCTCAAACTAGAGCTATTGAATATATATTGGCCCCAACAAGGAAGTACCCGATTGGGTTTGCCACGCGGTTTGCCAAAATGTGGCACAAGTTCAAAGATCAACCGCCGAAGTGGCGCCACCACGCGGCAGAGGTGCTGGCGATAATTGTAGCCCAGAATCGATGACCTGCAAACAGAACATGGCTCCAACTTCTTGACTTTTGCCCCCTTGCCCCTTGAGGTTGAAAGCTTCTCTTCGGGGAATGTGATGGACATAATCCGTGGCAAGGTCTTGCAGGATACATGGAAGGACGCGGGTATGGGTGAAGTCCTGGAATACCTTTATTCCAACCGCAATCTTAGGTTGTCTGAGGATCAGCGAAGCATGATCCGTGGTCTAGCAGCGGCTTGGGAGTAGAGCAGCTGAAGCTACCATACGCCTGTTCGCAAGAATAAAGGTTCAGCTTGGATTTCGCTTGAGAGAGCTTTGTTGTCATGCTTCCTGATGCTGCACGAGCTGTCCGAAACTGGTTTTGATAGGTCTTGCAGGTGCTCAAGATGTTTTTTTTCGGGATTTCTACGGGTTTATGCTAAATTCGTAAAAAATGCAGTGCCATAAAATACCGTAAAGTGCCATAAAAACGTGTTCGAGTGCCATAAAAAACCATCGTGGTTTCTACCCCTAGGATTCTAGAGTTTTCCACCTGCGTTTTTACCATGGCGGCTCCTGCATTGCGCTTAAAAACCAATGGTGGGAGCTGCGCAACACTTTACGCTGGGCAGTCTTTTCTTGAGGGCCAGGTGAAACAGGAGGTGAAAGAAAACATTGATGAGGATCTACGCGTGGCTTCACTGCAATTTCTTTCATGATCAATAATATATGTACTGTACTTGTAACTATTACCCAACATTTTGGTGTAAACCTAAGGTGGCGGAAAAAGCCCTTGCTGCTCTCAAATTGAGGGCTGCTGCCTTGCAAGAGGCCGCACCAGCTGTGGAGCCATGCGAAGAACCTGAGATTCGAGATGAAGCTCTCGCCTCCTCTAAAGACTCAGTAGAGGACACCTTACTTGACCCACAGCCTCCGAGGCCTATCGCTACCCCTGCCCGTGCGATCTCCTCTGATACACAACCCACGGAGCAACAGATCTGGGATGCAGCGTTCAATGGTCAGCTGCCAGCGCAGCCAACCAATGATGATAACGATGAGGATGAGGATGATCAGTACATGTTTGAGGTTGATGCCGAGTCTCGTCTAATAATACGATAATTATAATTTATAAGCCTACAGCATACTCCCATCCCAGGATGACAACGAACTCCAGCACTTGCTGCAGAGTGCGTTGGGATCTGCAGCTGCAGGGGATCCACTCCAGGAAGAGGTCAGCAGCCCAACCGTGCCTCGGCTTTTCACACAGTCTGCCTTTTACATACTGATGTTGAAACTCACGCAATGCTCATTCAGGAGCCAGATTGGGACCCCTATGGTTGCCCAACCCCGGAAGGGCTTCTGTGAGATGCTGGCTCCAACGCTTCCTCCGGCTGAACCCCTTGCAGGCATGTCCCCAAAGCCAAACTGTCGGCCCCCGCCGGAGATTAGCCAGCCATCCCCAGCGACAAGAAGACCATCCACACCAGGCAAGAAAGGCACCCCCTCTCCTAGAAGACCAGCCACACCAGCCAAGAAAGGCACCCCCTCTCGTAGAAGATCAGCCACACCAGCCAAGAAAGGCACCTCCTCCCCACAGTCAGGCTCAACACGGAGCAGGTCAAGCAAGAAACCTAGCCCAGCCAAGCACCTAGCCGAAGATGGACCCGGCCACACTCCTAAGCCAGATGCGGAAGATGCGGAGCAAGAGCCACTCGACTCGGCTTCGGAAGATGAGATCTCTAGCAAGCGGAAGGCACACATCATGTTTACCCGAGCTTGTATGCGCATCCTGGAAACCAATCAACCCGAACTTCCCCCAAATGAGCCTATCCCTGAACAGGAGCAGAAGAAACCAGTGATCAAGTTGACCCTCACCCAGTTCAAGAATTACAAGGCTACATTGAGACGTATGTGCAAGCCGTCCCCGAAGCGTGGAACTATAGCCGTTGATCCTGAAGTTGCAAAACAATGGTGCTGCACAAGGGCCAGGAAGCAACTCCTGCAATGTTTGATAACTGCGCAGGGCGACAAGGAACCTTGGTTGCAATTGCATGCGTATTAATCCCGAGCCACGCTTGATGCTTGTGCTTGCTTTTCACTCAGGAAGTCTTCAACACCAAAATGGCGATCATCATCAGCAGCAAGAAGGAGCAGAAGCTTGAAATCAAATCCGGCTTTTACAGCGAGAAGGCCATGAAGGATGAGCTTGGCTTCAGCAAGTGGCTTGGCTTAAACTCAGGAGGGTGATATGGTGCAGCCAAGTTGATTGATCTCGCAGGGAGCGCATCCTCGCCGTCAAGAAGTACAACACGAAGACCCCCGAGCGCCGCCGCACCCTTGTCCGGCCTGACCAGGGTTATGATGATCCCTTTTGGCTTTGGGTATTGCCCCTATACTCAGTATAAGAATATATATATATATACTGTATATTGCCCATAAAACTCCTGATATTTTGTAGACTGTTCTACTGGGTGGGGGGTAATACCCATAGTTCTGTTTCATGTTTCTTTATCTCCTCGCTGTTGTTGCAAAACCCTTCCTGTCAGACGCGACAAATATGAACGACACATAAAAGAATATTGGTGCGACGTGGCTACTATGGGAACGTTGACAAAATCCATGACCGAAGAGATCTTGCAAAAGTACGAGGTTACGGATTTGAAGGCTAGCCTTCCTGCACCTTCCATTGGAAAGTCTCCTCAGCCCAACATTGGAGATGACGACAATGAGGATGAGGAGGGATCCGATGCAGGGGATGAGTCCTCCAATGACCATGATGATGATGATGACGACGATGACGATGCTGCTAGCAGCAAAAAGACCCGAGGCCGCAAGACCAAGGTTCCAAAGCGAGGACGTGACACCACCCCAAGCCCAAAGCCCTCGAAGAAAGCTAAGCACAAGAAGCATGAGGATGAACTTGAACAGGCTATGGAGGTCGGGTCCACAAAAAACACACATTACCCATCCCTACACATAAGCCCCAACCTTAAAAAATATTCCCAGAGGATGTGGAGAACATCGGCCACTACCTGGACAAGGTCTTGTCGCTACGAGGCAAGATGGACACAACGTGTGACACAACCATAGAGAGGCTCGATGAGTTGAAGTCCAAAAAGGCGAATGAAGGCGTAACAAAGATTCTACGGCTGCACTTCGTGCAATGGATGTTGATTCCTTTTGCATAGGAGTGCTCACGAATCTCAAAGCTAAGGGCCCTCGACACTGTCAACAAGCAGGCGTCGGATCTGATGACTTACCATGACGAGCTTGCCGAAATCAAGTCAGAGCACTCCAGTGGCCAAGTTCCAAGCAAGCAGAAGCTTATCTTAACTAATGTCACTGAAGGAATTGAAACAACATATGTTCAGCCCTTGTATGTACAGTTTATGCACCAACTCCCAGGATACAAGCGAAGCTGAAGAATCTGTATGGCCAGGTTGAAAAGTTGCAGCTTATCTGCATCTATTGAATTCATCCCTTCCTGCCTTCACCATCCCATTGACGTGAGCGCATCCACCGAAGCCAGGGTCAACTTAGTTTGTGATCAGGGCAAGCCGCATTCTTCTGGAGGAGAACAAGTTGAGAAGGATACCTGCTTGCATCCTATATACAAAGTATTTTCTTTAACTGTTTCAATACCTTTGTCTCCATGTTCTATTATCTAAGGACGATTCTGCGTGCTCCCAAGAAAGCGATGGGTGAGAACTCGGGCCCTACAACAAATGAGTCAAAAGGTTTGGCTAGCGCGAAGGCCAAAGCAAAGGCTAAGGCTAAAGGTAATGGGAAGGGTAGAAAGGCCGCTGATGTAGATTCCAGTAGTGAGGCTGAGAATCATGAGCCCAATCCAAAGCCCTCCTCAAAGGGGAAGGCTGCGGGAGTCAACAAGGGTGGACGGCCCAAGAAGGCTGCCAGCAAGAAGTGAATTTTCAAGCCATACTCCGAATTTGACACCTCGAACGGAATCTGAAATGACGTAACTCAAAGAAATCCTTCTTGCCACTAGTGTTCTTTAGATGCTGTGGTTGCAAAGGATGCAAATCACAAAGCGGGATTACTGGGGTTGTGATCCTTGCGCTGCTCCTGAGGAAAACCAAAGCCTGCGTGCGAACTTTGTGAAGAAGCATGGTTTGTATAGATCACGATATCGTGCTCAATTCCTGCTGTGAAGGTGCCAGTCATGTTCGCAAGCCGGAGAAGGGCGCTGCCTCCAAAGCCTTGGCGAAAGCACGAGGGTCTGGAGCTACTTTGATTTTGAATTTTGATTTTGTCAAAGCCTCGAAATTCCCGGTTTAGGGTTAGGGTTGAGGGTATATATATATTATACATTAGGCTTTGTATAGGGTTAGGGTTTATAATCGGGTTTATATCGGGCTTATGGAGTATGTGGGGTATGATATATGGGTCCCATTCGCTAAGTTATATCCTCCCAATATTTGGATTGTTAGGGTTGGGTGGGGTAATCAATCTAAAGTAAAGCAATCATGCAAGGTTTCTGATCGATTGCTTTGTGAACTGGCATCTGGGTTCTTTGAGGAGTGCAGTGATGTGGATCCTGATATGGCGGGCCAATTATCTAGTGCCTCATTGTTGGGAGAGCTCCATCGGCACTCTGCAACGCGCCATGAGAATAATGCTGGCAAAACCTTGGAACAACATGGCCTATCCTGCCCTGTGGAGGTTGACACTGTTGACATTGGATTGGAAAAGCCGCATCCTATTCTAAGGATATCCAATGTGCTCAAAGTGTTGGCCTCGCATGATAAGCTATCTTTGTTGTGGGGCAGCGACGATCCTAACCCAACTGCTGCGCTAGCAAAGTTTTGGCGAAGGTTCCGTACTCATCAGGGATCGCACGAGGTGTTTGTCCAGCACGCGCAGCAGCTCCATCGCACCATACCCATTCTTTTACACGCTGACGAGGGGCAAACTTTAAAGTCCGCTGGGATTATGGTAATATCCTGGGAGTCGCCTCTTGGACTTGGAGTTTCAACACAGGATGCTCCTACAGATATGGGGCTGAATTATATGGGGAGTTCGTTCAAAACGCGGTTCTTGATCTCGGTACTTCTGAAAAGGATCTATCTCAAAAAGGTGAAGGCTTCGTTGGATAATCTGGTCTCAGAGGTAGCTGCTGAACTGAAGGCTTTGTTCTTCGATGGCATTGAGCTGGCACACAAAGGTCAGAACATGCATTTCTTTGTGGCATTCATCGGTTTAAAAGGAGACTGGCCTATTCATCAGAAACTGGGTCACCTACGAAGACATTTCTCCCGAATGACGAAGAAGGATGATGATGCTAATGCTGCAGGTATTTGCCACCTATGCGAAGCGGGTAAGGCTGGAATCCCTTTTCATGAAGTTGGCCCCCGTGCTACCTGGACAAGAACATATCTCATTTCTTCTCCTTTCCTACGTCCTGGACCTTTGGCAATTGTCCCTGGAGCAACTTCGCGAGAGCTCATGTTCAGGTTTGACCCCTTCCATACCCTCCACAAAGGATGCTTTGCAGAGTTGGCTGGAAGTGCTCTGGTTACTTCCCTCGTTCTAGAATATAGGTTGGGGATGAGATTGGGATCTATATATAGGGTTATATATATGTGCATACCTATTATAAGGCCCATGTATATGGTTGGATTTCAGGACCCATCAACGTTAAGGTTATGATTTCAGACTATGGATTGGTGGGGAGCTCCGGTTTCGATGCTCAACTCGCTTCCCTGTACGAGTTGTTGAAAGAGTTCTGCACAAGAACCAAGACGCCCTTGCACATGGATGGCTTAACCCGCAATCTTCTCAATTTCAAGAGGGATTCCGACTATCCCGTGGGGAGCCTTGGCAAGAGCATGTTTAGTATTCATTACCCTAAGCCCTAGACCCTAACCATAAGGCCTAGAGTCAACAAACCTTGGGTTTTATAAGTCATTCAAAGATGTAAGCTTTCATAATCCTAAGGTCTTGGTTCAAAGGGGCAGATACAGCAGCGGTTCTTGGTTTTCTCGAAGAATTCCTTGGAAATTACGTGGCTTCGTTATCTGTTCCCGACCCATACCTGGAGAGTGCGCGAGATGCGTGCAGGGCTGCGAACACGTTTCTGCGAACCCGTTTCTGCGAACCCTTTACAGACATGGAGTTTGGCTTCCCTGTGACGCTTGCGCTGTGGCCGCAAATGCCGGCTGGACGTTCCTTCGCAGTTATATGGAATGCGCCCAATTCGCACATGATCGACAGAGAACTCGGTACAAAATTCAGCCAAAGCTTCATACAATGATACACTTTGTTCATGACGTTGCTGACGCAGCCAATCGCCAGCAGCGTCACACTTGGAACATTCTTGTTGATGGCACGCAAATGAATGAAGACTTTGTTGGCAAGATTGCCGCAATTTCTCGAGTTGTGGACTCACGAAGGGTACATGCAGCCACGATTGAGCGATACCTCGTTAACATGTGGAAGCAAATGTGAAAAGTGCTTGCAGCATCTTTTCTTGCTGACAGGTTCACATGTGGATTTCGAAATCAGGCGCCAGTTTGAGAATCCGATGAAGTAGAACACATTCCGGGGTAGTAGAACCAGTTACCATTATTTCCCACAACTCGGTTTTCCAGGTAGGCCCCTAACCCAGACCCCTGATTAATAACCCCCCTCCCCTTAATAGGCATTATAATAGGGATCCTTCTATTAATTAAGGCCCTTAGAAGGACGGGGTTTACTAATCATGGGTCTACATTACACCCTGAACCCTAAACCCTAAATAGTAGTTTCCATGTTCTTTTCCATTATCCCTATATACCCCCTATATGACCCCTTATATAACCTCTAGGGTCTACACTATATTAAACCCAACAATGAACTCCAAGAATCCCAAACCCCCATGTGTAAGCAAGAAGTAGCCAAAAGCTCTTAGCATCATGGAAAAGCCCAAGATTCCCAAACCTTGACCCCCAACCCTAAATCCTGAACCCTAAACCCTCAACGCTGAACCCTAAACCCTGAATCCTAAACCCCAAGCTGAGTCATCCACCCCCCGCGCGGCACAGGGAGGCAATAGTTTGAGGTCTTTTAATGGCTGAAGGTGCAGGCTGTAGGGTGTACTTGCTGACTGTGAGTGGGAAAAGAACAAGGACAAACAGCTGAAACTACTGCTTTGGATTCAGGGTTTAGGTGTAGGGAACAAACAAGAAAAAGGAAACCACTCTACTTCTGGGGGTCATCTAGGGGCTATTACAATTATAAGGATCAGATGTCTGGCTCCTTGTCTTGTGTATAAACACTCTTGTTTTTTTCGTTGTATCTACGCGAAAACCCTTACTTAAGCCTGAACCCTAAACCCTAAACGACACCCCTAAACCTTAAACCTTCATCAACACAGAAACCCTAAACAGTAAGCGCATTTCTTCAACAGACGACCCAGCTCTGGTCTGGTCATAGGGTGTAGAGCATTACCATCCCTTCTTGGAATCCCTATGGGTTTCGGGCTTAAGGTTTTTATTAGGATTTATATTGGGGTTGTTAGGGTACAGGCCCCAATACTGAAGAATGGAGAATCAAATGGAAAAGAACATGGAACATGAGATGGAAACTAGAGTTATAGAACAATATAGGGGTCCAAATATACAAATAATTTCTACATTGGGCCCTGAGGTCTGTAAATATTACCTACATTGGGCTATTTGGATCTCTAGAGCTTGGTATGTCCGTTTAGGGTTATGGTTCTAGGGTGTAGGCTGCAGGGCTTGATATCAGGATTCGCGGTCTGGGGCGTACGAAGTATTGGTTCGAGGTTTCGGGTTGAGAGTGCCGGGTTTTCCGGCGACGAAAACTGGGCGTCATGCGGGGGTTCTCCTAACTAGCATCCCCTCATACCCCAACAGATATACGCATGCACGTGGTTGAATATACCCCCTTACGCTCAAAAGGCAGCTTGCGATTCTTAGGTAGCGCACAAGACATTCTACAATGCAAGATCGAGATCGAGGAGGGATTCAGGGTTGAGGTGGCAAAAAACAGGCATTGTCAGGATTTTGGGGGGGGTTTGGACCCTGACGGCGCTTCTACTGGGAGAGTTGGAGGGTCAGGGGCACTCAGCCAGTGTATTTCTTACGGAACTAATTTTGTCCAGAAGGGTTCAGGGTGTAGGGTTAGAACACAAAGCTGATCTTACATCTGGGCTCTTGCTGCGTCCCGCAACACTTCTCCAGGTTAAGGAACTCCTGCACTGCGTCATATTTTGGGAACTGCAGTATTCTGTGGCCTTAAGTGCTGCGAGATTTCCTCCATCCACCATATGAGCCACTGTCTAAACTCCTAGTATGCCCCTTAATCACCCCTATAACAGTACCCTATATAATCTCCTATATAACCCCCCTTTAAGGAGCTTAGACTATAGCTCATATGATCAGGTTGACCTTTCTGTTAGAGAAGCATCCTTAAGTGGGGTGGCATGACCTGAGAGGTTTTTAGGGTTTAGGGTTTAGGGTTTAGGGGGGTTTTACAGTGTACTGAAACCACGGGGAATGACTCTGCACTACCTAGCCCCGAATCCTAACTCCTGAAGCCCAAGCAAAAACCCTAAAGCCCGAACACCTATAGTCCCCCTTAAGTAGATAGAATATGGCTTTGGGTATAGTATTATAAGATCCCCATATACCCCATATTCTTCCTACTTAAGGGGGACTATACAATAAAGTTTGCTCGGCCATAATACAACAGAGGTGGCAAGAATGAAGCTCCTCAAGCTCCGCGCGCGAGAACCTCCAGTCCGTAATCTTAAAAAATGCGTCTACTTGTGCTACTGCGGTGGATACTAAAACTCCTGCATGACCCTAAATATCCTAAACCTTGGGAATAATGGTACTATAGTATACTAAGGTCATGCAGGATTTTTAATATCAACAATATGACCTGTACTATTTAGTCCTACACCGCTCCCTGGCTTATTAGTGCGACCCCCTCCCCATACCCCTCCGTAGACCAGAATCGCAAAACTTTTGTTTGGGGGGGCGGGTGTTCAGGTTCAGATTAAGTATACCCTTAACCCTTATAGGCCAAACACTCTAGCAACCGCAACCCTTATGAAGACATACTTGCCCTCTAATAATGGCCCCTGCAGCCTCATCATACAGCAACAGATTCAGATGAGCCATAATGTTATCTCCTAGTATCCCCCTTAATAAGCCCTATAAAAGTCCCATGTATGAGCCCCTATATACCCCTCTTTAAGGAATTCAGACTATTGCTCAGATGCTCTCTCCCTCAGGCCAACCCTAAACAGAATGGATAAGCCCTCAACCCCAAACTTCAGGCTGCAGACCTTCCAATGTCAACCTCAAGAGACTGCGGATTTAGGCTTTAGGGTTTAGGGGTTTAGGGTTGAGGGTTCCTGTGTTGAGAAATTAGGAGTCCAGCCTGCTCATAGAAAGCGAGTTCAGAGTGTGCACGGGACAAGTCCTGCCGCAGCAGAAGATCTTTTCAAAGGCTTTGAAACGTAATACGACTAACATACTGTTGATACTAAAAATCCTGCATGACCTTAGTATACTATAGTACCATTAATCCCAAGGTTTAGGGTATTTAAGGTCATGCAGGATTTTTAGTATCCACCGTAACACTAGACTATAGTCCGTATTATAGGGAACCCCAAAGAGGTACACCTAATTTTGGGAACTCCTAAACTCTAAACCCTAAACCCTAAACTCTAAACCCTAAACCCTAAACTAAAAACCCTAAACCTTAAACTCTAAACCCTAAACTCTAAACCCTAAACCCTAAACCCTAAACCCAAACCCCGTGGGGCATACCTTCCATCCTTCAGCTCGCATAGAAGTCAAAAGAAGACCGCCTACACTGGCTTGCTGTTAAGGAACTTAAATTAAGGGATTATCCCCCCATAATGGAGAATCAAATGGAAAAGAAAATGGAAAATGAAATGGAAACTGGGGGAATATGGGGTTTTAAGGAACTTAAATTAAGTTA